AGGACCAGTTCACCTTCTTGGAATTCCCTAGGACGTACTTTCTTGTTGAATGTTTTTTTCATCCTTTGTTGGTATAATTGTCCTTGGCATGCTGAGGTCAACCATTTCTCCTTAATGAGATTGAGTTGATCAAACCGGGTTTGAATCCACTCGGCTTCTTCTAAACGGGTTTCCATTAATACTCGCAAGGATGGGATTTCTACCTCGAAGGGTAATACTGCTTCCATTCCGTATACCAAAGAAAAAGGGGTTGCCCCAGTCGATGTGCGTACTGATGTACGGTAACCATGTAAAGCGAAAGGGAGCATTTCGTGCCAATCCTTATACGTGACTACCATCTTTTGTACAATCTTCTTGATGTTCTTATTTGCAGCTTCAACTGCTCCGTTCATCTGTGGACGATAAGGTGAAGAATTATGGTGTCGAATCTTAAACTCTTCGCATAACTCTTTCATCATTTGATTGTTCAGGTTTCTGGCATTGTCAGTGATGATCTTGTCGGGGAGCCCGTATCGGCAAATTAAATCCTTTTTTATGAATTTTGTCACTACTTTTCTAGTGACATTAGCATAGGAAGCAGCTTCTACCCATTTGGTGGAGTAGTCAATTGCAACTAGTATAAAGCGATGTCCATTCGTTGCCTTGGGTTCTATAGCACCGATGACATCTATTCCCCACATTGAAAATGGCCAAGGTGCCGTTAATACATTTAGGTTTACGGGTGGTGCATTGATATTATTCGCATACTTTTGGCATTTCTCACATTTTCTTACATGCGCACAACAATCTCGCTCCATGGTTAACCAAAAGTAACCCGCTCTCAGAATCTTTCTAGCCATTGAGTGCCCGTTCATGTGTGTTCCGAAGGTGCCTTCATGAACCTCTTCCAAAATTGACTCAGCCTCCTTTGCTTCCACACACCTGAGGAGTACCATGTCGTGGTTTCTTTTGTACAAGACATCCCCATTTAAGATAAAGTTTCCCGCCAACCTCCTCAGTGTCCTCTTATCATTTTCAGATGTCCCTTCTGGGTACCTCTGAGTCTTTAGATAATTCTTAATATTGTAATACCAAGGTTTCCCGTCTGGCTCTGCATCTATGGAATGACAATACGCTGGCTCTGCATGACTTTTCATTTTGATCATTGGTATTTCCATATCTCGATTAATTTCAAACATTGATGATAAGGTAGCCAAAGCATCTGCCAATTGATTGTCATCTCGCGGTATGTGATGAAACGTGATGGAGTCAAAGTTCTCATTCAATTTACTGATATAGGCTTGATAAGGGGCTAGTTTTCCATCTCTGGTCTCCCATTCTCCCTTTAGTTGGTTGATGACTAGGGCCGAATCCCCATATACATTCAAAATTTTTATCTTATATTCAATTGCTGCTTTAATGCCCATAACACAAGCCTCATATTCAGCGATATTGTTGGTGCAGTTGAAGCACAACCTAGCGGTCATGGGTGTGTATTGATTTTCTGGGGATATAAGTACTGCTCCTATTCCATGTCCTTTTACATTGGAAGCCCCATCAAACAGTAATGTCCACGAGTTTTCACTTCGGCCTCCCTCAATTTTTCCGAACAAAGCCAGGATATCTTCATCAGGGAAATTAGGCTGCATCGGCTGATAATCTCTAATGGGTTGTTGGGCCAAATAATCAGCTAGAGCTCTACCCTTGACAGATTTTTGAGTGACATATACGATGTCATACTCTGACAATAGCATCTGCCATCGAGCTATCCTTCCAGTGAGAGCAGGCTTTTCAAAAATATATTTAATAGGATCCATTTTAGATATCAACCAAGTAGAATGATTTAGCATGTATTGTCTTAGGCAATGAGCAGTCCATGCCAATGCGCAACAAGTTCGTTCTAACTGCGAATAGCGTCGTTCGCAGTCTGTGAATCTCTTGCTCAAATAGTATATAGCATATTCCTTTTTTCCGGATATGTCGTGCTGACCCAACACACAACCCATTGATTCATCTAATACTGTTAAGTAAAGAATGAGTGGCCTTCCCGACTCGGGCGGTCTCAATACAGGAGGGTCCTGGAGATAGCGCTTGACTTTGTCGAAAGCGGCCTGACAATCCTCATTCCACTTTACGGGTTGATTTTTACGTAACAACTTGAACATGGGTTCACAGGTGGCTGCTAGTTGAGATATGAACCTAGCAATGTAATTTAGCCGTCCCAAAAAACCTCGTACCTCTTTTTCTGTGCTGGGGGATGGCATTTCCATTATGGCTCGTATCTTGTCGGGGTCCACTTCTATCCCCTTTTGACTGACCACAAAACCCAACAACTTTCCGGACTTTACACCAAACGTGCACTTAGCGGGGTTAAGTTTGAGTTTGAATTTTCTCAATCTTTCAAATAATTTCTTTAGATTAAGAATGTGCTCCTCCTCTCGTTTAGACTTGGCAATCATGTCATCCACATAAACTTCTATTTCTTTGTGCATCATATCATGGAAAAGTGCCACCATCGCCCTCTGATAAGTTGCCCCAGCATTCTTAAGTCCGAAAGGCATCACCTTATAACAGAAAGTTCCCCATAACGTGATGAAAGTAGTTTTTTCCATATCTTCCGGGGCCATTTTAATCTGGTTATACCCCGAAACGCCATCCATAAATGAAAATAAGGAAAACTTAACTGTGTTATCTACTAAGGTGTCAATATGTGGTAATGGGAAATCGTCCTTTGGACTTGCGCGGTTTAAGTCATGGTAGTCAACGCACATTCGAACTTTACCATCCTTCTTTGGTACAGGCACGATATTTGCCACCCATTGAGGGTATCTTGATACCGCTAGGAATCCTGCGTCGAATTGCTTCTGTATTTCATCTTTGATCTTTAGGGATATTTCTGGTTTCATTCTCCTTAGTTTCTGTTTGACCGGCGGACATTCTGGCTTGAGTGGCAGCCTATGCTGGACTATGTCTGTATCCAAACCAGGCATATCATCGTACGACCAGGCAAACACGTCCCTAAATTCCTTTAACAGAGCACATAACTCTTCCTTCACTTCTTTTTGCATGCCTGTGCCGATTTTTACCTCTTTTCTTTCGCTATTCTCTCCTACGTTAAATATTTCAACTTCTTCTTGGTGGGGTTTCAACTCCCTGGAGTCTTGCTCAACTAACCTTGTTAATTCTGGGGAGGGTTCCGGCTCAAATTCATAATCATCTTCCATTTTATTGATAGGGTGCTCGAAATTAGGGGTATCAATATTATCGTTTTCAAAACATTCATTGTCACATCTGCATTATTTGATTTTGAAGAAAATTCCCTTTTTAGGACAAACAATAAACACGAAACACTAAAAAGAAAAGAAAACAGACTTAATTTAACGTCAAACGGAATGCAAAAGAAAGCGTCAACCCGTAACGTATAGACCACAATGCTCCGGGAAAAGCATTAAGGCTAATTAAAAAAAACTATTACATTTCGACAAGCATCACAGGCAAATTCTCTATCCTCCAGTTCTTGAGCTGTGTTTCCGGGGTGCAAGGCCACACAAGTGCAGAGTCTTCGTCTTCATTCTCGATTGTTGCTATTAGGCTAGTGTTAATCCACCCGGCGCTGCGGAAACTTTCCCTGATATCACAAATGCGGATCCTCCCTATTAGGGGATCTCTTCCTTCTATGCGAGCTAGGCTTCGTTCTTCCTTTTCCTTCCTCACTCTCCTTTTGTCTTCTCTAGTGGGCTTGTACCCCAGGCCATATCTATTCTTGTTCTCCACAAGTTCTAGCAGGAGGGTCCGTCCTTGCCCGTATTTTCCAAGACCTTTTCCGTGTTTAAAACCTTCTTTTAGCATGACTTTAGCTGTCATAAGAGAGGCACTAGACAGGTACGGATTTACTGGCATCGGTTCTATATAGGTATTTCCAATGATCTCCAATGATTGAAACGCGGTCTCAAGAGCCTCCTCTGCTGCCTCGATATAGCGAGTAGACAAGGGCCCTTTTACAAGGAAATCTTCTTCTCCTGAGACTATGATTAGCTGATTGTCCATGACATACTTTAACTTTTGATGTAATGTAGAGGGCACCACCCCTGCTGAATGGATCCAAGGTCGACCTAACAAGCAACTGTAGGCTGGGTGAATGTCCATGACCTGAAAGGTTATCTGGAAAACACAAGGACCAACTTGTACTGGCAAATCTATCTCTCCCATAACATCCCTCTTGCTCCCATCAAAAGCTCTTACAATCATAGTACTTGGCTTCAAGTGAATCACATCATACGGTAACTTCTCCAGCGTTACCTTAGGCATTACATTCAAGGAGGAACCATTATCAATTAAAACGCGTGCTATGGCATGATCCAAGCATTTTACAGAGATATGAAGAGCTTTGTTATGACCTCTCCCCTCAACAGGTATCTCTTCATCAGTGAAGGTGAGGTAATCATTAGCAGTAATATTGTTAACAATCCCCTTGAACTGGTCCAAAGAAATGTTCTGCTCTACATGAGCCCCACCGAGTACTTTCATTAACAACTTTCTATGCGAGGTTGAATGCATGTGTAGTTCCAAAAGGGAGATCTTTGCTGGCATGCGTTTCAATTGATCCACCACTTTATATTCACTTTGCTGTATAAATTTCAAGAATTCACATGCCTCTTCATCGGAAATTTCTTTAACATTTTTATCTAATGGCCTGCTCTTTTCTTCGGAAAGTTCCACATCTTCCTTTGCTGAAAGTGACGATGGAGAGATTCGTCCACTTTTCGTCATCCTGCCAATGCCCGATATATTTTCAATGATTGGCTCATCGCATTTTTCCTCAATTACAAGTGTCATATTTCCATGGGACAGTCTTATCACTTTTATAGGCAAAAGGGGAAGGTGTCTGGATAACGACCGAGGACCTTCCTTGAGTCATGAGTGTAGGAGGGGTTCTGGTGAAACGAATCACTAATGGTTCCGATAAAGTCATATTGGGCTCTCCACCAGTCTGTGCAAATACTTCTTCTTCTTTATTCACGTAGTATATTTGTAGGAAACTTCTGTCAATCAGATCTTGGAGAAAGCTCCTAAACCTGGTGCACTCAGTAATGATATGTTCGGCTCCTGGACAGATTCCACATGTCTCACCGAGGTCATCTCCACCCCTTAATAAACCCAATCTCATCAGCGTTTCAAAAATGACCTTTTTAGAACTACGAATTTCACTAACATCTCTTACTAGCCTGTGTCGTCCATCCTCGATGGCATTTGTTGAGGTATTTCCATGCTCGGCAAGGGGGTTGATTTCAACACTAGGTTTGTCTTCCTGAAACTTCAACCATCCTGCATCAATTAACGATTGTACTTTGAACTTAAGAGCCATGCACCTTTCAGTTGAATGGCCAACGCTTCCCCCATGAAAATTGCAGCTTGCATTTGGATCATAATTATGAGGGTATGGAGGTTGTAAAGGTTTCATGGGGCGAATACTGGCCATGCCTTTCTTTAAGAGATGAGGTAACAATTTTGTGTACGTCATAGGAATGGGGGTGAAGTTCTTCCCCGGTTCCCTCCTAGGATGAGTGTTCTGACCAACATTCCGATCAGGGTCCATGCCAACTCCTACTTTCCAAGCATTGTTTGAAACCTGTGGTGGTGGATAATATCCTGGCGGTTGAGATTTAATTTGGGAACCAGGCGTGGTGTTGTTCACATAGGGAGGGTAGCTCGGGCTTGGTGTATAGCTACGAGTAGGGGTATGACCTCCCCACATGGGCACTGATGATGTCGCATGTACCCCTCCTTCTTTCTTCTTTCCTGGATTAAAGACAGATTTCTTTGGAGTGTTAGGTTGAGCTGTAATTTTCCCATTTTTCAGTCCGATTTCTATCCTTTCGCCTATGATGATGATATCAGCGAAATTGGAGGACACATTGCCAATCATATGCTCATAAAAAGGTGGTTGTAGCGTGCTCACAAACATTGCTACCATTTCTTTATCATATAGAGGCGGCTCAACCTGTGCTGCCAACTCTCTCCATCGTTGCGCGTATTCTTTAAAAGATTCTTCCTCTTTCTTTGTCATGTGGTGTAATTGTAACCTGTCCGGTGCAACATGCATGTTGTACTTGTACTGCCTTACAAAGGAGTCTGCCAAATCTGCCCAAGAACGAATATGCGAGGAATTCAAATGTGTATACCAACTCAATGCCGCTTCAGCCAAGCTATCCTGAAAGAGATGGATAAGTAATTTGTCGTCGTGAGCGTAAGCGGCCATTTTTCGACAATACATAGTCAAATGATTCTTAAGGCATGTGTTTCCCTTGTATTTCTCAAATTCTGGCACTTTAAACTTGTGTGGAATGGTCACTCCGGGAGCCAAACTCAATCTTGCCACGTCACCAAATCCGTAACTTTCAAACCCTTCTATGGCTCTCAGTCTGCCTTCTAGAACTTCAAGTTTATCCTTCGCCCCTTCTACACTTGCCTGCAAAGCAGCATCTTGTGCGGCAATTGTTTGGGGAAGCTTGGGCGTTTCATTCAACTTTGCCTCAGTGGTGTGGATAGGCCCCTGGGTACCAATGGGAAGTACATTGCTGGTTACGGGAAAAGCCAAGGAAGTATGCTCTGCCTCTGAATGATCTCCAGTAGGCGGTGTGTAACCTGGTGGTAGACCATACATCGGAAATGTGAATTGTGCACCCACAGCGTCATGTATTGAAGTGTGAGCATTATCATCAGCCTTTGCAGACGAAGCCTCTCCTGTAGTTTTCATGGCTTTCAACGCTTCTAAAATTTGACCGACTTGATCCTTTAGCTGATTGATATCGGCCTTTACAGTTTCACGTTCCTCTTCCCAATCTTCCATAGCTTTGGAGTTTGCTCGAGTCTTATAAGGATGTCGTGGAAGCTTCGCCGTTGTTATTTTTTTAACTTTATACTGTTTTTATTAACTTGGATTAGATGAAAACGTATTATGCGAAAAATGCAAAAATGATGCATGCTAAAAATACGGAAATCACAGGTCCTTGATATCGTTACGAGAGAAACTAACACAGTCCAATACCATCGCAAACAAACCGAATTTTACATTTAAAGAAACTGAATAAATGAAAATATCACTTCCTAGCCTGAGCAATAAAAGTCTTCATCTCACCCACTAGCCATTTACAATAACTAATAAAATGAGTGATTTCTTCAGGTGGGTTGTAGAAATATGTCATCATTTCAGCGTCAGATACCATCCTGGGCACATCTTTGATAGCTGCGTTAGCAAGAGCAGCTAGTTGAGCGAAACTTCCTTTCCAATGCCTCACGACTTGTTCTTGATCCTTAATATGGTCCTCCATTTGTTTCATCATAGCTCGATTTCTTTCTTCTACTTTTATCCATTCCCCTTGTTTGGCAATGTAGTTCTCCATCTGCTTCACCAAAGCCTGTTGATTTTTTTCTGCTTTTTCACGTTCTTGGTCTAACTCTTCCTCGAATGACATTGCCATCCTTTTCATTTGTTGCTCTATTTCTTTAATTTGAATTTGGGCTTCCCTCAATCTTCGTAGGGCCTCTTGCCGATCTCTTCTAGTCTCTTCATAAAGGTATTTCCAATGTTCTTCGGCTTCCAATGCTGCATTCCTTTCTCTTACCCTCATGGTTAGCTCAACGTTGGCGGCTGCGAGATCCTGCTTTAACCGAAGAGTATAACCTTTTTCGATGTTTTGTTTCGTGAGAGCCTCTTCATGTGCTCGCGTCATTTCTTTTCTTTCCCATGTTAAGTCTAACACACTGCTGCGAGCATTTTGTAGTTCTTCTGCCAACTTAGTATTCTGATCTTTCATTTCTTTTATTTCTATCTTCAATTGTTTTATCCTATCAGACTCTGGATTTAGAAACTGTCTTTCATCTACCAGCTGGCCTGTGATTGATTTAAACGGCAATTTAATGTCTTTTACCCTTTGTGTAATCCAATTGTGATAACTGACCTCTTGACTTATCACTCCTACCCTTTCATCTGCTTCAAACCGCACAACGTTTCTCCAAGCTCTTCTAACCTCTCTTAGTTTTTCAATAAAACATCCATCTTCATAATAAATGAAAAGTGGAGTGAGGTAATCGGATGATGGTGCCCCTCTCATGGGATGCCCAAATTGTCTTTGAACCAAAGTAGGGTTGTAATTGATACAATACCGAGCTCCAATGAGTGGGACGTTGGGAAAATCGCCACAATAATGGATGAAACACTTACTCCTAAGCCAGGACGGGCGCCACTTTATCTTTCCCCCGTTTAGTCCTGCGAAGAAATGAGCCCATTCCTCTGCCCCAATGCCCTTGTCAACGGTCTTTTTGAACATTCGAGTGGTCAACCATTGGTATAGTGTCGGCAAACAACAGATGATCTTTTGCCCTTTTCTTTCATGGCAGAAACTCAATGACCCATAAACATCAGCGAGGATTGCAGTAACCGGATTCTCCGCCCTTGTCTTTTTTGCCACCAAGACATCTATCGCATCATAATCTACAAAATTTTCAATCTTAGGAAACAACATGATTCCATATAAGGTAAGGGCCAACACGTCCATGAATGTTTCCCACTTTTCACCGTCAGCCAAGTGATGCAGGTATTGTTCCAAATACTCCTGAGTGAGTCCTGTCACATGGTTTCTCGTTACCAATCTATCCTCCAACTCTCTAGGGTGCAACTTCATGATAGCAGCGATGGTGGTAATAGAAGCATGATGCTCTAGGTGTTGGTATGGAATTGTACCTTCTAATGGTAAGCCCAAGATGTGCTCGAACTCTTCTACAATTGGTGCCAACTGGAAGTCTGGGAACGTAAAACATCTTAGTGGAGAATCATAATATTGAGACAGGGTAGTGATAACAAGTGATGGTACGTCCACCTCCATCAAACTGAGTAAATTTCCATACTTCCTTCTGAACATCTCTCTCTTCATAGTCTTCAATTGCTTTCCTAATCCTATCAATCCTGACAGATTCATAACAGAGACTCTGATGTGTGGCCTTCTTCTTAATATGGCAGCACTAGTTTGTTTCATAGTTTCGGATTCCATGTTAAGTCCCAACCTTTACGATATCAAACAACCATGTAATTTCCGCCAGTATTGGTAAGAAGAAAAGGTTACTAATGCATGTGATGCATGAAGATGCATGTGCCCAATAATAATCGAAAAACAACATGCCCTTTCGGCTTTTAGAGTAGGGCCAACGTCCTAAAGTCTAAACGTTGTATATGCAATCTCTCAAGGAGGGCTTCCTGAACCTAAAATCAAGGCCACCAGAGCTATGGTCCTTTTCACAGCTTTTCCACAACAGTTGAACGCAACTAGGTGTGAAATTGCATGTAAAGAGAACAGACACTGGCTGGGATTCTTACGATAGCCAAACTGGAAATAGTCCAAACGTGACACCGCTACACAACCCCTCTAATTCTATGGCACACTCAGACCCGGGTATAGGGTCCCACTCATGATATACAAAGTAAACATAATAATAAAAGCAAGTATAAATAAATTAACAAAATAAATAAAGACAAACATATATAATAAATAAAGGGAAAATAAATAAAATAAAATAAATTAAAATAAAACCACAATCAATTTTGCACATTTAATTAAGAAGGCCTGATTCTCTAATATATCCCCAGTGGAGTCGCCATCTGTCGCAACCGGGATCGCGACGGGACGGCAACCCGAAAAACAAACGAGTTTGAGAAAAAGATTCGTGGAGTCGCCACCATAATTTATTATGGAAAAACTATGGAAAACCAAAAAATAAGACATGGTCTGCGAAAAGAGATTTTCAGGTTCGGGAATCGGTTACGCGTAAGGAAGGTGTTAGCACCCTATCGCGCCTGCCCAAAGGCAGTACCTTTAATTAAATGTATAAAGATTGAAGTGGTTTTTTAAATGTTTAATTTTCCCTAAAAAAANTCAACCTGCGTTGCCAGCTCTCTCCATCGTTGTGCGTATTCTTTAAAAGACTCCTCATCTTTCTTTGCCATATGGTGCAATTGTAACCTGTCTGCGCGCGACATGCATGTTGTATTTGTATTGTCTTACAAAGGCATCTGCCAAATCTGTCCAAGAATGGATATGAGAGGATTCCAGATGCGTATACCAACTCAACGCTGCTTCAGCCAAACTATCCTGAAAGAGATGGATAAGTAATTTGTCGTCGTGAGCGTAAGCGGCCATTTTTCGACAATACATAGTCAAATGATTCTTAGGGCATGTGTTTCCCTTGTATTTCTCAAATTCTGGCACTTTAAACTTGTGTGGAATGGTCACTCCGGGAGCCAAACTCAATCTTGCCACGTCGCCAAATCCGTAACTTTCAAACCCTTCTATGGCTCTCAGTCTGCCTTCTAGAACTTCAAGTTTATCCTTCGCCCCTTCTACACTTGCCTGCAAAGCAGCATCTTGTGCGGCAATTGCGTGGGGAAGCTTGGACGTTTCATTCAACTTTGCCTCGGTGGTGTGGATAGGCCCCTGGGTACCAATGGGAAGTACATTGCTGGTTACGGGAAAAGCCAAGGAAGTATGCTCTGCCTCTGAATGATCTCCAGTAGGCGGTGTGTAACCTGGTGGTAGACCGTACATCGGAAATGTGAATTGTGCACCCACAGCGTCATGTATTGAAGTGTGAGCATTATCATCAGCCTTTGCAGACGAAGCCTCTCCTATAGTTTTCATGGCTTTCAACGCTTCTAAAATTTGACCGACTTGATCTTTTAGCTGATTGATATCGGCTTTTACAGTTTCACACTCCTCTTCCCAATCTTCCATAGCTTTGGAGTTTGCTCGAGTCCTATAAGGATGTCGTGGAAGTTTCGCCGTTGTTTTTTCCTTTAAATTTTTTATTTTTTTTTATTAACTTGGATTAGATTAAAACGAAATATGCGAAAATGCAGAAATGATGCATGCTAAAAATAAACGGAAATCACAGGTCTTTGATATCGTTACGAGAGAAATTAACACAGTCCAACACCAATGCAAACCAACCAAACTTTACATTTAAAAAAAATAAAAGTCAAAAGTTACTAAAAATGAAAATATCACTTCCTAGCTCGAGCAATAAAAGTCTTCATCTCACCCACTAGCCATTTACAATAACAAATAAAGCGAGTGATTTCTTCGGGTGGGTTGTAGAAATATGTCATCACTTCGGCGTCAGATACCATCCTGGGAATATCCTTGATAGCTTCATTAGCAAGAGCAGCTAGTTGAGCGAAACTCCCTCTCCAATGCCTCACAACTTGTTCTTGATCCTTAATATGATTCTCCATTTGTTTCATCATGGCTTGATTCCTTTCTTCTATTTTTATCCATTCCACCTGTTGGGCAATGTAGTTCTCGATCTGCTTCGCCAGAGCCCGTTGCTTTTTTTCTGCTTTTTCACGTTCTTGGTCTAGCTCTTCCTCGAATGACATTGCCATCTTTTTCATTTGTTGCTCTATTTCTTTAATTTGAACTTAGGCTTCCCTCAATCTTCTTAGGGCCTCTTGTCGATCTCTTCTGGTCTCTTCATAAAGGTATTTCCAATGTTCTTCGGCTTCCAATGCTGTATTCCTTTCTCTTACCCTCATGGTGAGCTCAACGTTGGCAGCTGCGAGATCCTGCTTTATTCGAAGAGTATAACCTTTTTCGATGTTTCGTTGCGTGATAGTCTCTTCATGTGCCCGCGTCATTTCTTTCCTTTCGAATGTTAAATCTACCACATTTTTGCGAGCATTTTGTAACTCTTCCATCAATTTAATATTCTGACCTTTCATTTCTTCCATTTCTATCTTCAATTGTTTTATCCTATCGGACTCTGGATTTAGAAACTGACTTTCATCTACAAGCCGACCTT